ACAATAATAATAATAATAATAATAACAATAACAATAACAATAACAACAACAACAACAACAACAACAACAACAATAACAATAACAATAACAATAACAATAATTATAATTATAATAATTATAATTATTATAATAATTATAATAATATCCCATCTTTCTCTGAAGCCTGAAAACAAAGGGGCAGATATGATAATTTCCAGTAAGTCTTGCCGTCAAACTCTGACTGTGTCCAAACAATAACCTGTTAAGCCTCAGCAAAACGGCATCATGTTCTGAATTGATCTGCATGTATCGGAAAGGAATGTGTTCGGTTGCTGTTTTATATCTCCTCTTACCTCTTACAGTGCTAGAGAACGATGAAGAAATTAAACAGTTAAACAAAGAGATCAGCGAGCTGAACGAATCCAACAGTGAGATGGAAGCAGCCATGGTGAAGCTGCAATCCCAGGTACGTCTTCCCCTGACGCGATCCCACAGCCATGTGCTAAATAGGGCACGTGAGGTAACAAGAAGGATCTCTTGGATAAAGTACTTCAAATTCCTCTATGGGCTGGACAGTGTTTTTCAGTCTCCTACACTCTGAACCAAACGAGTTCCTTCTGTCCTCAAAATATGGGCAAACAAGGTCCCCTCGCGTTTCTTTCAGGAGCTTAAAATCGGTATGCTCCTTAGCATACAAAACAGGAATCTGACCCTCTTGAGATGGCCTCAGCCCTGCTGCTTTACTCAAAAGAAATGGCTGTCTTTATAACCATTTTGATTGTGTATAACATCAAACCCAGAGCAGGGCAGACTCTTTTGTCTGGTCAAAAAACCTAAGCTAATTCTTTTCCCACAGAGTGAGTGTGTGACCGACGCTGAGCAAAGCAAGCATACGCATCCTGATTCCATGTTCAGTGGTGGCCACCGGCTTAAAGCTCTTTGTCTTCACCACATCCATTTCTTTTCGGGTCTGCCTCCAAACTTTCAAAATACAAAGTCACCCCTTCCATTCCTTTGATAATTTCCTCGCTGCCTCTTTGCATATTTCTGCTTTAACAAGGCTTCCATAGCGAGAAGCTGGTAGGATTCCAACGCTCCTTCTTTCTCCTCACTTCCTGATGCCAAGGCTGAGGTTACTTTATATATAAATGCTTTGCGTGAGAATTTAAGTCTTGTTCGGTCCCTTTTGAAGGGACATCAGAACCATGGCAAGTATCCAAAGATTGGGTAGTCTAACCTGAAGGACCCTGCATCGTTGCCATATGTTATCACTATGACATCATCAAGCACAGAAACATACCAGAACTGGAGGAGAAATAGCACAAGGCGTATCGTTCTAGATTTGGGGGTCTGATCATAGAATGTGCTGGTAGAAAGCAAACAAAAGAGATGTAAAAGCCAAGATGGACACTCCTTTCAAAATGACTGCAACACTCTCTACATGCAACAAAAGCCAAAATGACTGCAACACTCTCTACATGCAACACCTCAAGCTTCCCTTCAGGTTTACCCAGAGACTGCTGTGGGTCCAGAATGTGGCAACCAGGCTGAAGACCGATGGAGCAGATTCAGTCACATCTACCCAGTCATGGCTCGCTTACACTGGCTTCCGGTTGCATCCTGGGTCAAGGTTGGACCACATGACCTGTTCAATGCATAGGGACCTGGAATGTAATATCTACGAATCTTGGTAAGCTGGATGTGGTCAAACAGGAGATGGCAAGAATAAACATTGACATCCTGGGCGTCAGTGAACTAAAATGGACAGGAATGGGCAAATTCAATTCAGACAATTATCATATCTACTATTGCGGGCAAGAATCCCATAGAATATATAGAGTAGCCAGAGGAACTAGAGACCAAATTGCTTACATGTGCTGGATTATAGAGAAAACCAGAGTTCCGGAAAAACATCTACTTCTACTTCATTGACTAGGCAAAAGCCTTTGACTGTGTGGACCACAGCAAACTATGCCAAGTCCTTAAAGAAATGGGAGTGCCTGACCACCTTATTTATCGCCTGAGAAACCTATATGTGGGACAGGAAGCAACAGTTAGAACTGGATATGGAAACATTGATTGGGTCAAAATTGGGGAAGGAGTACGACAAGGCTGTATATTGTCTCCCTGCTTATTTAACTTATATGCAGAATACATCATGCGGAAGGCTGGACTGGAGGAATCCCAAACTGGAATTAAGATTGCCGGAAGAAATATCAACAACCTCCAATATGCAGATGATACCACTCTGATTGCAGAAACTGAGGAGGAATTAAAGAATCTCTTAATGAGAGTGAAAGAGAAGAGTGTAAAACATGATCTGAAGCTCAACATCAAAAAAAGAGAAAAAGAAAAGAAAAACTAAGATCATGGCCACCGGTCCCATCACCTCCTTGCAAATAGAAGGGGAAGATATGTAGGCAGTGTCAGATTTTACTTTCTTGGGCTCCATGATCACTGCAGATGGTGACAGCAGCCATGAAATTAAAAGACGCCTGCTTCTTGGGAGGAAAGTGATGACAAACCTAGACAGCATCTTCAAAAGCAGAGATATCACCTTGCTGACAAAGATCCACATAGTCAAAGCTAAGATTTTTCTAGTAGTGTTGTATGGAAGTGAGAGCTGGACCATAAAGAAGGCTGACTCCTGAAGACTTGATGCTTTTGAATTGTGGTGCTGGAGGAGGCTCTTGAGAGTCCCCTGGACTGCAAGGAGAACAAACCTATCCATTCTGTAGGAAATCAACCCTGAGTGCTCACTGGAAGAACAGATCCTGAAGCTGAGGCTCCAAATCCTTTGGCCATCTCATGAGAAGAGAAGTTTCCCTGGAAAAGATCCTGATGTTGGGAAAGTGTGAAGGCAAGAGGAGAAGGGGATGACAGAGGACGAGATGGTTGGACAGGGTCATTGAAGCTACCAACATGAATTTGACCCAACTCTGGGAGGCAGTGGAAGACAGGAGGGCTTGGCGTGCTCTGGTCCATGGGGTCATGAAGAGTTGGACACGACTTAATGACTAAACAACAACAACCTGTTGAAGCATCTCTCTCCAAGGTCCTCTTCCCACACCACCAGATCCTCTCATGCTGTGCTCCTCTGGGTGGCTACACCAAAGGAGGGCATAAAATCTTCAAGATGTTGTACCTTTTCAGTGGTGGCACAATTTCTTTGGAGTTGTCTCCTGGTGGAGCTACACCTGCCCCCCTCCCTCCCTGGTTTTAAGAGGCTGGTGAAGACACTTCTCTTTCAAGAGGTCTTCCAAGACAGCCTCCTTTGAGTTTTCCACCCCTAATTCCTAGCACCATTAGGCTCCTACTGTTTTTTCTGCTGCTGTTGTCAATGTGTTGATGTTTTAGATATTTTAGTGCTGTGCACTAATGAGGCAGTATATAAGAAGAATCAATCAATCAATGTCAGAAAAGTTCCTGGGGCTAAATGGGAAATACGCATATTGCATGGTCAATAAAGAACAGCCATGTGTACTCTTAGGACTTTCCTCCTCTACACATGGGGTGGGAAGACTTGAGTTCAAATCTCTCCATGGCCAAAGCACTCACTCAGTGATCTTGAGCCAGTTACTGTCTTTTAGCTTAAGCTACCTGACAAGATTGTTGTGAACAAAAGTCACCTGATATGAAACAGGTGTTGTCCCTCCCTCTTTCTCCCCTTTGAGAGTCTCATGAGTCAATTATTTATTATAATCCTTCTAGAAAATGAGGTATTGTCTTTCATTCTATAAAGCACCATGGCTGTATAAATCTACATTAGTTTTAGAGATAGGCATGAAATGCCTGTTTGGCAGTTTCTGATGGTTTTTTTTTTCAGCAGAACGGGTGTTTGACTCCCATGGCTCTATAAATCTGCATTAGTTTTAGAGACAGGCATGAAATGCCTGTTTGGCAGTTTGTGATGGTTTGGTTTTTTTTCAGCAGAACGGGTGTTTGACTCTTTCCAGCCCCGCCTCCTCCAGGTAGTGCCCAGTCAAAGGCAGCACCCAACTTCCCTCCACTGCCTCCCCCAGACGCCTGGCCCTGAGTGGGCACTGCCTGGGGGAGGCAGGGCAGAGATGCAGGTAATGCTGTTTTTGCCAGCAGCCAAGTACCACCACTCATGTTCTTTGGAGGAAGGAAGAAAACATAAATACATGGACATAAAAAAAAGCCTTGTTAAGCCTATGGGACTTTCAGATACTCTGATCATTTGCTCTCTAATTGGCATTCTTTCCACCCTGCAGATTTCAAGCATGGAGAAAAATCTCAAGAACATTGAGGAGGAGAACAAGATTATAGAGGAGCAGAATGAAGCCCTCTTCCTCGAGCTCTCAGGGCTGAGCCAGACTCTTATCCAAAGTCTTGCCACTATCCGCCTTCCACACATGGTGAGAAGCTCTCTTATAAAGTCCGCCTCCGTTTCCTCTATAAAGCACCCTTTTCTGAAAGTATTCTCACCCACGGTGCTTTATAAGAGCAAAGAAGAGAAAAAGCCTTCAAGCCATCCATCTTTCTAATAATAATAATTGTGTGCTTTCAAGTCAATTCTGACTTGTGGCATCTCTTCCCAAGTAGAGAATACTCATAAGTGGTTTACCGTTCCCTTCTTCTGGGGGTGCCCTGGGACAGTGCAGCTTGCCCAAGGCCACCCAGGCTGGCTCTTCTCTCAGAAGGCACAGTGGGGAATCAAATTCCCAACCACTGGTTCAGCAGCCAGATACCTAAACTACTGAACAATCCATGTGTCTTTCATAAAATGCAATGGGGGCAGGAAGAAAGGACTTTTTTTAATTTAGGGGTGTGGAAAAGTGTGAGGTCTTCACTGAATATCTCAGAATCCTACTACCCTCCTCATTGTTCCCCAGTCCCATGTTCTTGTTATTATTTCTTATGCATATTTTGACTCCCCCTCCCCAAATGTACGTATCTAACAATACATTTTTCTAGCGTGTGTTTTTGCATGCACTTCAACAAATGTTATGTTTGTGGACATTTTTCAAATGTTCACATATTTGGTGGCATACATGTCTACACAATATGCATGGTTTGGTGCACATTTCTCCATCACAAAATGCACGACACAACTCAGAAATGAGCAGACATTTCAGGCCAGATATGTTCTACTCTGTTACCAATTCTGAGGAGCAAAGTGGGTACTGAGCTAAGAGATTGGCTTGTATCTGTTACTTATCACTAGTTACTGCTTGGCTCTAATTAGAAGGACCCAACACAGCGAAGGGCTTCCTCCTGTTTTCATCCGAAGATGTGACTAGACACATAAACTGAAACAAGCTGGCTTGAACTGAGAAAGGTCACTTAAGGATTCATAGAGGTGTGATCGCTGGCTGGGTAGTTTAGTGGTTACCTAAACCACCGACCTATCCAGGTTGATCCATAACAGGTGGTTAAAACTGCAGCCCTAAAACCACATGCAGATTTCCAAGCCAAGCCCCGTCAAACACCCTCCACAAAAGGGAGAGTACCACGTAAAAGCAAAAACAGAAGTGGTTTTCCAGTTATTTCTGTCTTTGTTTCACTTTGGGTTGGTTTTAACAGTCTCTGGAAACCTGGAGGATTGCTAGGGAGACACAAACTTGCCGTACATCTTCTGACATTGTCCACTTATGATCTAGAAACTTCACCTTTTAGCCCAGATATCTCTGCCTTTTTTATGATAAGCAACCATGTTATCACTCCCTCCCACTGGTCTCTCTTTTTGTGCTATCTGTTGTCTTCTCTACAACTCATAGTCCAAGGAAGCAAGAAAATAATAGAAGGAATTTTATGAAGCAAAACAAAAAAGCCTCTTGAGTCTAAAACAACGTGAGTGGAGACAGGGCAGAACTTAATATCAGAAAAAGATTTTTTCATATCCCGTTTTAAAATAAGAAGTTTCTGCTGTCTTCTGACTACCTGTCACGAGAAGAATCACAACCATAAAGGGGGTATATTATAGTTAACATAACAGGGCTTACAGTAACCAGCATGTTGCCATAGTGTTTAGAAGAGAGAGAAAAATGTGACAATGAAAACACTCAAACAGAGCATCTGAAAGGAGATATTAATTACTTTCTCTGTTTCCAGAATGTTAATTGTGTTGTTTGACACTGGAGTCAGACAAGTAACCAGCATGTAGTGGTGTAGCTTAATCTAAATTATGTTTACACATAAACAGGCCCTGATGAATTCAGTAGGGCTTTCTTCTTAGTAAGCACGCTTAGGGCTACAACCTGAAAACACTTCTATTAATGATGCAAGTGTGTGTTTTTTTATGTCATTTATAATCATTATTAACAATTAGGTGCTATTAAGTCAATTCCAAGTTACGACAACACTTTCAAGATTTGCTAGGGATAAAGTGCTTAGAAATGGCTTCCCAGCCCCTCCTTCTGGTGGCGCTCCAGGATTATGCATCTTTTCTGCAAGGCCACAGAGTTGGCAGGGTACTTAAGACCAGCCACTGTACAGATAATATTGGCTGGGCCCTCTCCCGGAAGTCACATCGGGAATCAAATTCCTTGTCCTGGCTCCCAGTGCTCCAAACCACTGAGTCACCCAGCTAGTTGTGCCATTTATGAATGCTACTAAATCAGGAGAACCCTGAAAGAAAAATCAAAGAGGCATTCCAAGTAACACAAGTTTTTTGTTCACATCCGGGGTTGCAGTGAAAGGGAGTTGACTTGCCTGTAATAATCACAGCATACTTGGAAAGGCTGCAATGAATCATCTTTTCCAACCCTCAGCTATAAGATTAGCCATCCTGTGTCTATATTGTAAATATATACAGTGGTGCCTCGCTTGACAACGTTAATTCGTTCCAGCAAAATCCCTGTAGAGCGAAAATGTTGGCAAACAAAATTAAAAAAAACACATTGAAACTCATTGAAAACCGTTCAATGTGTTCCAATGGGCTGAATACCTGCTTGTCCAGCGAAGATCCTCCATACGGCGCCATTTTCTGGTGCCTGTTAAGCGAAAAAGCCTTCCTAAAAACAGTGGGGGGCCATTTTCTTCAGCCAGTGGCCATTTTGAAACCCGACAAATCGTCGTAACGTGAAAATCGATTCCTGAAGTAGGGAAGCGATCATCGCAAAGTGGAAAACCCCCATTTAAACCATTGTTTTGCAATTGCTAATTGTACAGCGATTTCCTCATTAAGCGAGGCAATCGTTAAGCGAGCCACCATTGTATATATTTCAGCTGGCTTCAATCTTTCCTGGCATTCCTTCCCCCAGTTTTCCAGGGAAAGTAAACACTCCAAATTTCTTAAAAATTAAGGCACGGCTAATCTCTTTTAAGTCACTCAGTACACAGAATATGTGGTTTGCATGAAACCAAGGGATGCCTAGTTGTCAGTGCTATATTCATTTGGAATGGGAATAAAGCCCATTGAATTAAATGGGATTTACAGTGCAATCCTGTTTCCAAGATGTGCCAGCTGTAATGGCTTAAGAACAGGCAAAGGTCTCTCTCACCACCATAAGCTGGCAAAATTGACCTTGTGCTTTGGCCAACAGATTTTTCAGCCCTTGTATTCCAAACCATAAGGTAAAAATACAGTAAGACCCCAGTAGAGTATTCATAGCAAATCAGTTCCAATCACTCGCCCCCATGGGTGCTGAAAAACATGGCTTATAGCAAACGATATTATGACAGCAAATGCTAACTAACATGGTTTCTGTCTCTCTCTCCTGGCCGGTTCCGGTAACTTCATCATTAAAAAATGATGGGCCCTCGACTTACGAACGGCCCTAGTTGCAAACATTTCGGGTTACGAACCCGATCTCATAGGAAACTATGGACCCTTCTTGCGAACACCGAATCGAGTTATGAAGCAAAAAAAGGGGGAAAGGGGGGGGAAGGGAAAAAAAGAAAAAATTCTGTCCCTAGTTCGAACGCAAGCTACGAAGCAAAAAAAGGGGGAAAAGGGGGAAAGGGAAAAAAAGAAACAATTCTGTCCCTAGTGGTAGGAACAGATTAAGCAGCTTTGCATTAGTTCCTATGGGAACTAATGAATTGACTTGCGAACCGCCCCTTGACTTAAGAACCAAAAACAGCCAGAACGGATTAAATGGTTTTCAGTGCATTCCTATGGGAAATGCTGATTCAAGTTACAAACTTTTCAGATTACGAACGGACTTCCACAACGGATTAAGTTCGTAAATCGAGGGCCCAAGGACGGATTAAGTTCGTAAATCGAGGGAATTATAAAAATATATTTTTAATATTTTCAGACCGTGGATTAGTGAATCAGTGGATACTGGCCCTGTGTGTAAGTGGGTAACTAGTATATTAAAAAGAAACTGTTTTATTGCAATGAGTTTACTGTTGTCACCCAGCCATTTGGAAAATGTGGATGTCTTCCCACTGCAATATCTTTGCAGCAATATCTAATTTTCTGAATACTGGGTGTGCAACTGTGCCTGAGAAAATTATTATTATTATTATTTCCCATGCTTCTGCCTATTCCATAAATGTCTGTCATTCACAGTCTTCAATTTCTCCCAACCAATGAACCCAAATATGGGAAGCCACTGGATCTCTCCCCCAAGTCTCTTCTGCTTGTTTGTTAACTTTTGGGTGCACCAATATTGGGCTCATTGAGCCATTCAGAGCCAAGCAGTGAATGGAGGACCAGAACTGAGACTTTGCAGTCTTCTTGTTGCATACCACCCTGGTACCAATGGCGCAGAGACTGTAAAAGCCTCTCCTACTCCTAAACTCACTTGTCCCATCCCTGTGCCTATGACATCATTAAAGGCCCTTCCAGCACACATTTCAGGTGATGGTCCTGACATTTCAGGGAATGGTACATTGATGACCCAAAACCTTGTGCTGACCAGTGATGATTTGAGACAGGTGGGATGTGGGGTAGGAATTTTCAGAAGGAGTCCTCTTGTAAAAATGCACACAACACTGGTTGGAATCTTGAGAACTGAAACTTTGAAGGATTATCTATACAGTGGTGCCTCGCTAGACAGTTACCCCGCATGACAGTTTTTCACTAGACATTGATTTTTTTGCATTCGCTATAGCGATTCGCAAAACAGTGATTCCTATGGGGGAATTTCGCTGGACAATGTTTGGTCCCTGCTTCGCAAACTGATTTTCGCTAGGCGACGATTTTGACAGCTCCCTCCATGCTTGCAAAACAGGTGTTTTCGGGACCTAAGCCTTGCAAGACAGCGATTTAAACAGCTGATCGGCAGTTCGCAAAGCGGCTTTCCTATGGCCGATCTTTGCTAGGCAACGACGATTCTTCCCCATTGGAACGCATTAAACAGGTTTCAATGCATTCCAATGGGGAAATGCTTTTTGCTAGACAATGATTTCGCTAAACAGCGATTTCAGTGGAACAGATTATCATCGTCTAGCAAGGCACCACTGTATGCTTTTCTCAAAAGAAGGAGAAGAGATGACATGCCTGCCAGTAATGTGGATGTAATCTGAGCCCAAGTGTACAGTGTTTTCTTTTCTGGGCTCTTGAAGGAGCCATAATTGTTGCCAGTGTTAATTTATCTTCTGTGTTGTTGTTGTTGTTTTGTTGGACCTAGGAGCCAATCAGCGAGCAGAACTTTGATGCATATGTCAACACCCTTACTGATATGTATACAAACCAGGAGTGTTATCAGAATCCAGAGAACAAAGACCTCCTGGAAAGCATCAAGCAGGCCATTAAAGGGATTAAGGTCTAAGTACAGCTTGACAAAAAAGAAAAAGGGGAAAAGAAAGAAAAGAAAGAAAAGAAAAAGAAAAAGAAGTGGAAGTGGAAGTTGAAAGGAACTGGAAGAGGACCTTCAGTTTGCATATTCAGGTTTAAAAGTTAAGAAACTCGTTGAATGAATGAATAAAAGGACCAAAACTGAACCAAGAGGCCATTCACAAGAAGCCGAACTGAATTCAGAGGTTTTCGTTTACTCGACAGTGTCCCTTTGGCAAAATAGTGGGAGCTTTCTTTTGGTTGTTGTTTTTTTTTACCCCATTCTATATGGGTGGGGATTCAAAGACAGTCTTGGATGCAGATGGAGATCCTAGATCTTCTCAAGCTACGGGGGCACTTCCACCAAAAGAGGAGGCTTCATAGTAGAGTTAGTCCAAGATCTAGAGAGTATTTAAAGGGGTAGGGCTTTTGTCTGTAGCTTACACAACAGGTTCCACAACCTCCGTGTTGCCTGGAGTTGTGTCCCCAGACCGTACATACCGGATGAATTAAGCTGGAGCTGCACAGAAATCTGGGCTGGGATTCTTAACTCCACCAGAGATTCCAAAGCCTGCTGGACACAAGAACTCTTGACAAGTATTATAGAATAGCATTATTTTTTAATTTCCAAAAGAGCAGCTGTGGATCTCCAGTGGGAAGCGCAATGGAAAAAAAAATTTACAAAAGGTTCTCAGGGAAGCTTTTTCGGACTTTGCAACTACAGTATTCCTTTGTCCGTCTTTAAAAAAAAAAGATGATGATGATGATGATAGCTATTAATAAACAGACCAACATGGGAACATTTTGTATGGAAGAACTCTAAATGTGTCATAGTCCAGTGTACATGAGTTTTGGAAAGTCCTTTTTGCTGACTGTTCTGGTTCTGTTCGTCGTTGCCGTCATCGTTGAGTAACTGCAGAAGTACCGCAGGCATCCATGCCAGAGACATATTTTAAGGTACAAAAGGGAGTCTGTGAAGAGTTATTTTGCTCTTTTTAATGTGGACTTTGGCTACAACGTACATGGTAATTTTTGTTGTTCTCGTCATCGTTCTACGCTTTTTTCCCCCTACATTTTTGGGGGGGGGGGTACGTTTTGCAAAAACAGAGTGATTGTCATTCTACGAAAGGAACAATTGGCTTTAGATCTTCCAAAGAACCACTTTGTTTTTGTGCTGAGTGTTTGTTTTTTTTAGGTACCCCTCCAGTTATACATAGCCTGCTGTGCACTTAAAGAGCTACCGCAAAGTGAATGTCTCTTAGCAAAACAAATGTTGCTTATCGGCACCTCTCGGATATGTATTGCCAGATCTGTAAAAGGAACTAAGAGTGTTGGGGGAAAACATAGATATTGGTTCAGCAGGTAGATTATTAACTTCTCTTTAAAATGCTTGATTAGTACCTGGGGGATATGCAAGCGCCACTGGCAACACGCTGGGCCATAAACTGGGTGGGAGCAGATTATAAATTCTGGAAAACTGCCCTCGCACTGTATCAACTGCCAAAAGGTCAAACAAATGTCTGCCTCCCACACCAGTCCCAAAAGCATGAAAATGCAGTTGTGAGGCGTGAAAGACAACCCCTCTGTTTTCCCCTAGCACACACTTATGTCTCCTTACACAGATCCTCATCTCAAACTATGAAGGGTGGCCCCGATCCATCCAAAAGCCAGTAGATTGGTTAGATGAATTCAACAAGATAAAATATTAAGATGTTTAGGGTGCTTAAATCCTGCTTCTATTGGCAATAATTTGATTTTCACAGCTAAACCCCACTTCCTGCTAACTTCTGAGGCTGCAATTCTATACCTGCTTACCTGGGAATATGACCCATGGAACTCAATGAGACTTGTTTATTTTAAACAAAAATTGTGCATAGGATTGTGCTGTACATGTGTTTTTCAGCTAGCTAGGGTAGTTGTGGGATTATTTTTCCCCTTCCCAAATATACTAAGTGAAATCCTGGCTTCATTGAAATGAATGAGAAAAACATGTTGATTATGGTGAGAACAAGAGCTTCTAAAGCAACATTTCCAAAACATTTCTTCATACACATGTGTGTGCCAACTTTTCCCTTCTGGATTTGGTCCTTTATACCAGTGGTCCCCAACCTTGGGCCTCCAGATGTTCTTTGACTACAACTCCCAGAAGTCTTCACCACCACTTCTGCTGGCCAGGATTTCTGGGAGTTGAAGTCCAAGAACATCTGGAGGCCCAAGGTTGGGGACCACTGCTTTACACCATATCAAATGCTGCTTCAGAAGGTTCACCGCTCTTGAAAAATGGGGAGGCTTTTTGAGGAGTAGAAAGGCTAACACAATGAGAAAGGGGAGCTAATGAACTTCTGTCTGCGAATAAATTAAGGCCTACTTTTTGGAACCTAAAAAAGATTCTACCTGAAATCAACACATGGGGTTACTCGGGAGCATTTTCCTATGTGAGGCTTTGCTGATCCCTAGCCATAAACTAGTGCATCTCTTTAAACTTCAGCATGTGAGTGACCAATCATTTCTACAGTACGAGGAAAAGCAGAAAAGAGGTGTTTATAATATAGATTGCATGTTGGCATTATGTCATGGATTGAAACAAGAACTGCTCTAAGCCTCTGTGTGAAAATGCCTTAAAAGCCTGATCTTATATACTGTATACTTAGGCTATAAACTAAAATCATTGGCACTGGGAAGGTCCAAAATGCAACAACCACTAGAGCAGGAAGAAGAGGAGGGGGGAAAACGTGGGTGACTTTACTCAAATGTATAGCATTCTGGTAGAACCCAAGTGTTATTCATTTGAGTAAATCGACTTATGTTGGAAGATGATTCTAACATTGGGCTCTTTGGCTTGGCTTATTTATGTGAATGGTGGAAAGTGCAAAAAGGGGAAAAAAAGGAAGCAAAAATAATTGATAGGAAGTATTAAACACATATGATGCTTTCAATATGTAAATAGAGTCCAATTTGGTGGTAACTGCAGCTCATTTAGTATTTAAAAGTAGAGAAATTGCACTTCCTTAAAAGAAAAAAGAAGGGTGGGGGGAGTAGTTAGCTGAATGATCCTGTAAATTAATTGAGGGTGCATCCAAATGCACAGACTATGAGTGGTGGAACCGCTATAGAAGTTCACTCACTGTGTTTTGTTCACACATCCAGGCCCTAGTCATGGGGGAAAGCTGCTTATTGTAGCTGCGGCGAGAGGCAAGGTATTCATAGCACTGATTGGCTAGTACCCATGCCATCCTTAATTCAATTATCCAGACCCATTGCTCAGCTTCTAAACAATTGTGTTTTTTCTATTGAAACACTGATCAAATATTGTTGGGTAAAGTTGCAAGGAGCGTAACTAGGAGAGTAGAAGACAGCCAATTTTATTTACTGACAAATAGGTATGTCAGAAGTATTGAGAAGGTGGTTCACACCACTGGAAAGGGGGAAAAACACAGTGAGCATTCTTTCTATATGTGTCCTAATTTGATGAAAATGTACGTAATTTATATTTACAACACCTTATGTTTATTTTAATTGTTTTTGGCTATTTATTAAATGCATTTTATTTATTGAATTTATACTTCTGTTGAAGCTGGACATCACATCATGAGAAAGGAAAGGAGGCAAAATAAAAATTCCCTGAAAGTAATATGTTTTTGATCAATAAAACAATAATATTCCCTCTAAGAAAGAAAGAAAAAGAAAAATCTAACTTTTGCGTGTAATTTTGATGCAACCAAGTTATTTTTTATATATTTTTGTTATTTATTCTTTTACCGATGGGAATTTTTTAAAAGATATTTTATAACTGAAGTGCTTTTTTTAAGAAACGTTTTTTGTTTGCTTTTCTTTTGGGTGGGGAAAATGCAGAAAGAGAGAGAGAGAGAGAGAGAGAGAGAGAGAGACTGATTTCTTTCTTTTATTTCTTTTGTCTTCTTGGCATTTTTTATTGTTTCAGGCACTGATAATGGTTAAAAAAAATTTAAACCTGTAATTTATTATTTATTTAATATTTAAATTAAACATTAAAAAATTGATCTGTGCTCTTGTTGTATATTTATTTTGTCATGTTTGTGTGTCAGTTATGTGATGGCTGAGTAACTGTTTATGTGAAGGAATACTGTTCATATTCAAATAATAAAGAATCACATTGGAAAAAAAATACTACGGGCTACATGTTCTTCTGTGAAAAAGGAAAATCAAATTAATCCTATGAACATCTCTCCTTGAGAAACAAATTAAATAGGATGCAGCACCTAAAAGGCTGCCTAACAAGGAACCCCATCATTGATTCATCTAACCCTATACTTTATGACCACCAGCAAGAGTCTTCCTCCTCCACCAGAGCTTGAGAAAAAAAAGGTGTTAGATTTACTGTGTTAACACTAAAAGTGTTACTTCGGCATCAAACAGGAGGAAGGCATCTATTTTTCAAAAAGTAAAAATAACATTTTGAAATTTACACCAGGAGATTTTCAATGTGACTCCCCTGGCATTCTTTTCATGCATCACTTGAACTGGGCCTGTTTAGCCTTGAGAAAAGAAGACGGATGGGAGGCAGGATAACACTTTCAAATGCTTGAAAGGCAGTCCACCAGAGGAAGGGCAGGATCTGCTCTCCCTCATCCCAGCATGCAGGACACATTAGAACAGGCTCAAGTTGGAACTGTGGAACTCCTTGCCACAGGATGTGGTGATGGTGTCTGGCCTAGATGCCTTTAAAAGGAGATTGGACAGATTCCTGGAGGAAAAGTCCATTGCAGGTGACAACCTATGATGGGGATCTATAATCTCCAGGGTTCAAAGGAAGGGACATCCAAAGGCCAGGTGCAGGGGAGGGGGATCAGGAGACAGGTTTCTTGTTCTCTTGTGTGCTCCCAGAGGCCCCTGTGAGATACAAGGAGCTGAACTAGAGGGATCCTTGGCCTGATCCAGCAGGGCTCTTATGTTAAAAAAAAAAAAGCCAGGTTTAGGCTGAATATCAGGGAAACTTAAAAAAAAGCCAGATTCAGGCTGAATATCAGGAAAAACTTCTTAATTGTTAGTGCAGTACAACAATGGAAACAATTGTTTTGGGAGGTGGCGAGCACTCCAACACTGGAGGGCTTTGGGAGGTGGCAAGCACTCCAGCACTGGAGGCCTTCAAGAGACGATTTGACAACTATCTGTCAGACCTGCTTTGATTGCAATTCCTGCCTTGAGCCGGAGGGGGGGGGGGTTGGACTCGATGGCCCTATAGACCCTTATGACTCAGCCTCATTTTTGGAAGGTGTTATTGGAGGAAACAGATAGCCTAGACCAGTGTTCCCCAACCTTGGGCTTCGACTCAGCCTCCTTTTAGCAGGTGTTATTGGAGGAAACAGATCTCCCAGCTCCATTTTAATCAGAGTTCAGGGCATATCATGCCGCTGAAATGGCACTTGGCCATCTTGGAAGATGATCTCCCGAAGGAGGCAGACAAGGTTAATGTAACCTTGTTGGTCTTCCTGGATCTTTCTGCAGACTTTGATGTTGTCAAGACCCATTTTAATCAGGGTTCAGGGCATACCATGCCACTGAAATGGCACTTGGTCATCTTGGAAGATGATCTCCCGAAGGAGGCAGACAAGGTTAATGTAACCTTGTTGGTCTTCCTGGATCTTTCTGCAGACTTTGATGTTGTCAACCACCGTATCCTTCTCAAAGGGCTATCGAGGCTGGGGTTTTAGGGTGCTATTCTTCAGTACTTCCACTCCTTCCTTGATGGCTGATCTCAGCTAGTACCACTTGGGGAGGCGATGGCCACCTCTTGGGTCCACTATTATGGGTCCCTCAGGGATTTGCCCTGTCCCCAGTGCATTTCAACATCTATATGAAGCCGTTGGGATAAGTCATAGGGATATCTGGAGTTCACTGGCATCAATACAAGGATGACACACAACTGCATCTCTCTTTTTCCTCATCTGCAGGTGATGCTGTACAGTTCCTTGAGCCCTGCTTAGTGTCAATAACAAACTGAATGAAGGCCAGTAAAATGAAACTGAAGCTAGATAAGACAGATCCTACTGTTGGGAGGATCATCAGACCAGTTAGAGAAATATTTATTTATTTTTATTTATTTATTTATTCGATTTATATCCCGCCCATCTGGTATATTCTACCACTCTGGGCGGCTTACAACACAACATAAATAAATTAAAATAACACAAAAGCATTACAATACAAACAATAACAGATACAGTGTAGAATATAGTAAATAATAAATAGCAAAGAAGGAGTCAGGTGTTGACAGGAGGGAAGGCCTGGATGTATAACCATGTTTTTAGTTGGCTTTTAAAATTTACTTGATCTCCCTGAAGGATTGGGTTCAGAGCTTGGGTGTACTCTTGGGCCCATCTCTCTCTATGAAAGCATGTATATCTGCTGGGGGTAAGAGTGCCTTTTATGAACTTCAGACGTGTCCCTCCCTGGAGAAGAAATGCCTAATGACAGTGGTTCATGCATTGCTAATCTCTAAAATAGACTACTGTAATGCTCTCCAGGTAGGGCTGCCCTTGAAGTCAGTTTAGAATCTTCAGCATGTCCAAAAGCCATGAGCAGGTAGAAACTGGGGGATAACTGGAAAGCAAGAAGGTGCGTGCATACAGAACATCTGTTCATTTTTGAGTACCAGGTTTTGCACGGATTTCAACAAAAATGTTCCAACATCCAGATGACATTCTGTTACTATGTACCACTTTTCCCCCATGGTTTCCACACCTTTGTGATTCTCTCCAAACCTAAGGTTTATTTTCCTAATACTGCTTTTATACCAAGCAGGGGGGGTTAGCACTATGACAACTGAAAGCATTTAACACTAAGGCAAGCGACCAACGAAGCACATGAAAACACCCACACCCCATACATCCCCCTTCCCCCCCATCATCACACCTTCCAGAACCAAAGGGATTGCCACTGCATATCCTTGCAGCAGCTAAAGGCGCAGAAAACTTTTCAGAAAAGTGCCAAAAGGTTAACAAATAAAGCTTTCTTCTGGGGTATTGGAGAGGATAAAGCCTTTACATTTCTGCCTTGTTCTGCAGGTGTCAAAGGCACATTTGTTCCCTTTTTATATGAAATAGACAC